AACTCGGAGGTCTGTTTGTTAATGGTCGACCATTACCGGATAGTACGCGATCACGTATAGTTGAACTAGCTCACAATGGCATGCGTCCTTGTGATATTAGTCGATGTTTGCAAGTGTCCAACGGTTGCGTATCGAAGATCTTAGCACGATACTATGAAACAGGTTCGATTAAACCGCGTGCAATTGGTGGTTCGAAACCTCGCGTGGCAACTAATGACGTTGTTCAAAAAATTGCACAATACAAACGCGAAACACCATCCATATTTGCTTGGGAAATTCGTGATCGTCTCTTAGCTGAAAATGTTTGCAATTCGGAAAATATTCCAAGTGTACGTATCAATGAGAGAGAAAAAAAAGACGCGCAGATGTGTTTCTATCAACATTTTCACGCTGCTTCTCAATTTTAGGTTTCATCCATCAATCGAGTACTGAGGAATCTTGGTTCGAAATCCTTAGATTCAATGACTAATCATGAAACCTACTATTCTGTGGATAGCAAACTACGTGCTTTACATAGTCAACCATGGCCTTCATCATCATCGGCGCCCTTTTATGTTCATCATCCTGGCGCACAACCATCGTCAGGCACCTATTCGACAAGTGGCGATTCGAATTCAGAGTATAAGCATCAAGCAAGCGATGCCAATCATGGTCATCATCAAGATTTAGGAGGTAAAATGATCAAAATTCTCGCCAAGCTTTCTTCTCTTTCATAACATTCGGACACTTATTTCCATTCGAATACTCCCGCATCAACTTCAATTGAAGTCGATTCGGCGATTGTTTGATTTTAAGCAAGACTATATTTAGTAAATAGACCACCTGTAGATATCATGATCGGTTGATTAAAATAAACTCTTCGTGCCCTAAAGATATCGAGTAGCTTTTTTCATCAAGAGAAAAAACAAGCAAGTGATTTTCCTCTTATCGAGCCGAGCAAATTATTCCACGCATCTGATTGGTAGAAAATGTAAAGAAAAAAAAAACTTGTCACTATTTTACAGATGTTCAATCTTTTCTAATCCGTATTTTTCCACATCGTTGATTAACATTGTTTTTCTCCATTGAAATGTAAATGACAAGAAGAAAAGAAAAAGATTTGTTTCTTTGTCTTTAGATTTATCTGATGCAAGTAACGATAGCAAATCAGCAATACGAGATAGTCTAATCGAGAACGATGCGGACGCTCAAGAACGATTGAAATTAAAACGCAAGCTGCAACGAAATCGAACATCATTCACTCAAGAACAAATCGATGCTTTAGAACAAGGTATTGTTCGAACGGAGCTTTTTTATCCCTATACAAAGATGTCATTTTTAGCTTTTAATGGAACGCATTATCCGGATGTTTATGCGCGTGAAAAACTTGCACAAAAGATCAATTTACCTGAAGCGAGAATTCAAGTAAGAAAGTGCATGCATGTCGGAAGAGATTTTAATGAACTTGAATTAGGTCTGGTTCTCTAATCGGCGCGCTAAATATCGTCGGGAAGATAAAGTCAAAGGTCGACGTCAACATCAACAATTAATGAATGAGATGGGAGAAAACCTACGTCCATCAGGTTCGACGCCGCCTCTTCCATCCTCTCAACAAACACAACCGTCATCCTCATCCGTTTCACTCTATCCTCCCGTACTTCCAACCAACAATGATCAACATCTTCACCACCACCATCATCATCAATATGGAGCATTTAGTTCAGGTTTTACTGGACAAATGGCAGCAGCCGTTGCATGCAGTTCATCAGGATATCCAACATTTTTTCCCAGTAAGTTATCTCATCAAGCTAATTCAATTGTATTCTAATAGAAATGTCTATACCCCGAAGAAATCTTTTCGCGTTATACAGAAAATAATTGACACATAACTCAATTTTTTTCCTCTTCGTCTTTTCTAATAGATTCAACACGTGGTTATGACGGACTAAGTCCATTTAGCACACCTTATAATCGTTCTTGTCCAAATTACTCAACAGGTATCCCATCTAATCTCTCATCAGGTATAACCACACATTCATAATCATGCATCAGCTAATCAACGATAAACTTTTCATTTAGATCTCGATCATATGAAAAACATGCAATCAATGTCACCGTATGGTGGTGCGCCACATATATGGTATTCCCCAATTTTACCATAGAGAAGAAAGGTAAGACATGTTTGAACATCTCTCCCGAGGGACAAAGTTGCTTGTTGAAATGAGACGCTTGTTTGAAAATATGTGATGTTGTTATTCAACTCATGAGAGATTTGTTTTGATCGGAAAGGTGTTGATCATTTGGCGATATGTGTTACGCAGAAAAACAATCACATTCTTTTCTATACGTTTCGTTTTTCTCTTGCAGGATGAAATGATTGGTCATTTATGGAATTTGGTCATCGGTTTTTTTTGTGAACGTTTATGGATTGTATTATATTGATCGTTTTTTTTTCTCTCTTCTGTATTGTCGTGTCTTCTTCTTTTTATATTTTCAATTAAATAGACATACAAGATGACCTGGAAATAAATACTTATTCATATGGTGTGCATTTTACTATGAAGTTTTAATTCAAAAGCCTTGAATAAATATTTGAATAATATAAAAACCTTTATTTGACCTTCTGACCGTAAGATTTTTCGAAGAGCCTCTAGCACTGGGCAATTTTCATTTAATATTATATAACATAACAGGAATCATATGTATGGGTGACTTTTACCTAATGAGGCAATATTTTCAGGCAGTTCGTGATTATATCATGGAAATTAAAAATCCTTGAAGCATACCAAAAATAGTGATAGTAGCCTTTTTTTTACTAGATATTGCTTTTCATACAGTCGGACAGAGAAAAAGAAACTCCATCTTTCTATGCTATTTGATCGTACTACAACTAATATAATGATGTTAAATTATCTATCAAACTTATTTCGGTTGGTTATGTGCTGGCTGTATGAGTATTGGTAAGTACTTTTTGATCGAAAGGCGATAGATAACCGCAGTTTTCATTGCTGAAAGGAGCATATGAAGATGCATGGAATCATATATTATGAGTTTCTCCAATGTGACTTCGCACAGGTTTTTATTCAGTTTTCTTATTGCTGAGAAAACAGTTCCTTTCATTAAAAAAAACAAAAAAAGAAAAGAATATCGAAATAAGTTCCGTAGATAATTTAATATTATGATATGAGTTGAAGTACGATCAAATAGCATAGAAAAAGAGAGTTTCTTTTTCTCTATCCGACTGTATAAAAAAGCAATATTTAGAAGAATACTATGAAATAAAAAAGTGCCATTATCACTACTTTTGATATGCCCCAAGCATTTGTAGGAACCTTTGATAATTATCAGTGGAATTTTTCCTGCAGGAGACTATATTTAATATCAATTTTCACATTTAATCGGCTTTCGTTAAAACCCTACCTATGAACCATAAGAGAAACAAACATTATTATTTCCGGGAATGGCCTACAAATCTACAGTATGAAAAAAAACGTTGCCTTTTCTGAACAGTATCACTTTAGTTTTCATGGTTTCCAGTGTGAAGATTGTGAATCGATGTATCTCGCACAAAATTCATCTAGCATTGATTAACCCTCTTTCCCCTTCGTAATAAAAAGCCCGGGACCTTCTACTATGGTCGCACACATCGCATATTTTTTTGTGCAAAAATCCTCATAACCCTCCCTATAGGGTTTTCGTCTTTGAAGGGCATACTATATAGGGAGGCTGTTTTATTCCAGGAGGGCTTTCTATTACGGGAGAGAGTTTATTATTAAATTTCAATGCAGAGAATATCATGAGGAACGGGAAATTTATGCCTTTACAAAGAGAGAACTGCGGACTTCATCATCTTGACAAAGTACTTATATGTAATGTATAAAAATGCTTTGTTCTCCCCCTATTAATATGCACGGTTACTTTTGTGTGAGATAATGGGTCAGTTTACATCATAGTTGAACAATGGGCGCTAGGTACGTTTATATCTAGTCGTTATTTAGAACCTGATCTTCAAAGAAAAGTGTAAAATATCACAATCCAGCGATTTTATTTTCTGCGTATATTCTCAAGATGAGACAAATCCACGTTCTACTCAAAACTTATTTTTCAGTGTTGATCTCCAACGCACTCTATCGTCAATGCGAATGAATATCGATTGGTACGCGTCACAACATTCATGAGTCATGAGAAGAAGTCCGTATGTGAATGAATGAAGCCAACGATCCGTTTGCCACGTCTGATTTCTTCATACATCGGTGCATTTGCTGTCGTTTCAACATTGTACTTCAATTGGTACATATAAATAGAAAGAGAATTCGAATTTGTTCACTCTTACCTATTCATAAAGTTAAATTTACTGCGTAAAACAAGATATGTTGGTTCATTCATTTCCTACTACGTATATATTCATTGTTATCCTTTCATTAACATGCGGATCGCTCTCATCTGTTCCGATACGAACAGAGCAATCTAACGGTAAGGCTATTTCTAGACTTTTCTTTAGAAGAAACCTCGTTTTTATAGAAAATTTCGTTCAAAATCAAGACGAATTTATTCCTACGAACGAATGGCAAATCGTGAAAGAAGGTATTTTAATCATACGCTCAATAAATTCATAGATTCACCGCTGCTGTTTAGGTCAAGCAATTCCACCCGGTCTGCATGTTCGGTTAAATTTACAAACAGGTCTCCGGGAAGCGAAACTACTCGATAAGAACGAAGAGCAAAAAGAATCTGCAAACGATCTCGTACCTGTATCAAATGATGACGCCCAAGAGCAAGAACGTATTAGTAGAGAAAATCTCGAACGAGCATTCGCTAATCTTGATTTAAGCAAAGACGATGTAACCACTGATGAAGTATGTTAATCATGGTTTATTGTAATCATCTTCATATCTTTGTTTTGTTCAGAAACATGAAGAAGAAGTTAAAGCAAAATACCGTCCATATGATGAACTAAAGAAAGATTTCGAACAGATGAATATGAAAGTTCAAACTGATCACGAACTTCTCACTGATCTTCTAAAACAATTGAACGCAACGAACAATAATGAAAACCGGAAAACAATTTTAACTGATTTAGAATTTTATCTTCATCAAGTATGTCGACGTGATTCCATGCAATCGAGAATGTTCGGAATGATATCGTTTCGTTTAGTATGATAACGCCATTTTATTTTCCGATATGCACGGACTTGAATTATTGATTCAGCTATTAAATTCAACGAATGTCAATAATGATGTACGTCATTTAACTTGTTTGACACTAGGCGCCGCTTTCCAAGGGTGAGTGAGATTTGTCGTACACAATGAAAATGTTCATACGAGACTTTCTTTCTAGCAATCCGAAAGTTCAATTGAAAGCATTAAACCTTGGTTTTGTTCCATATTTGCTACGTTTATTGAACATTGAAGTCGATGATAATATCCGATTCCGGCTTATGTTTACTCTATCAACCCTGTTGAGAAATTTTCCGCAAGCACAGAGAAGTTTTCTCGAACACGGTGGAATCGAAACGATCGTTACACTGATTGATCAAACAGAACCAAACAATAAGATACAACTCAGAGCAATTGAATTGATGAATGATTTAATAGTCGAAAAGGTAAATTGAAGAAAAATATTTCAATCAATTTCATTGAAGTTCTCGATTGTTTAGGATCAAGAGACTGCGGACAAAAGAAATGTTTATGATAGGTAAGTTAATCAATACGCGAATAGAAATCATTGTCTAACGAGTCCGAGGAAAAGTCGATTACAATGGGAAAAGTATTTCTGCAATGCGTGATATTAGAAAATCAAAGGTTATCAGAAGAGCAGTTCTTATTTGAGGCAATTGTTGCATAAGAATGTGATTGATGTCATTCTGAAACGTAAGAAGAGTATCTTGGTTAGTATGGACTCTTCATGATAGATATCAATAAATCAAGTTCTATCGCGAAATCATTGGAAAATTCCCATCTGAGCTCGTCCTTATCTTTAAGAATTTCTCTTTTATTTTAGCATCGATATCCGTGATCGGTTGGTGAAATACGATTGGTGTGCAAAGGTATCGCATCGTTTAACTTCAAACGATATGCACAATTTTGACCAGATTGAAAGGCTACTAACAGCAATGATATCTTTCACAGATGTGTGTCGAACGAATTTTATGTCTTTACTTCCAATGTTGGAGAAACTAAACGACGTTTATACCAAAGCGAATCCAAACGAAGTTTCAACATTCACTGATCTCTTAACTAATCTTCGTGCACAATTGAAACAGACTTCGTCGAACGATCTATAGGAATCAATATTTTTTTCTTTTGTCAGATAATTGCTTGTTTTGTTTTTGCTATTTTTGTTGAAAAAAAAAGAAATTGGTATAAGTTGCAATTACTGTACACAACAGTATTATCTCATTTGAAGAATAATAGAATGCTACTGAAGATATTGACTCGCGCTTTTCTTGTTCCGATGTCAGACTAGCAATATATATATTATTAGCCTTGAATATATGCTTGATTGGAATTGTAGCGACAAATAAAAACCGGCAAATGTGACACGAGAAGAAAAAAAAAACTTCGCTGATGTTATTGCATGATGCTAACAGCTATGCTATCTGTTCTGAGATGCATCATTCATTCGCTTTTTATCCTTCTTTTGTCTACTATATTTAAGACCAATAATATAGCAAGCAATGCCTGTGTCTAGAATAATATCATCATGAGAAAGAGTACACAACCACATCTTTTTTGCTACCACCATATTAGGTCTCTTTCTCTATTAATATATGCGCGGTTAGAGGAAAGATGAGATCGATTTAGGGTCGAGATGCATCCGCGTTTTCCGTCCGAGAAAATGTATATATGTTCGAAGTTAGATGTACGTTAACATATCTCCTGCAGAAGAAAAGAAAAGAACTCCGTTAATATCCACAGCGGTTATCCATTTTTTCTCTCTTCTTCTCTTACATTTGGTGTAACACAGCACCCAAAATAGGCAATTTCTTCCACAATAACAACAACAACAGCATCAAGAAATAAGAAAAAAAAACGGCAGACAGGGAGAGAGAGAGAGAGAAAAGATAGAAACTGAGTGTTTCTTTGCTTGTAATCTTCATCAAGAAGTTGCTTGTGGTACCATATCCAACATCAAATCAGAATTCTTCTCGTAGACTTTTCCAAACTCCAGAATGGCCGATGTGAGTGTTAATTCCTCCAAACTTTTTTTCTCATCATGCATCTTAAACTACAAATACGTTCTTCATCTAAAATTCTTCTTAATTGTTTTTCTAGAGCGACGTAAGTTTTATCTGACATTGTAATATTCACATCCCTTATCTTTCCACACATATACCATATTCTTCCTTTCGCACCTTAATAATTATCTTCTCGATGTCTTAGTTGTCATTTTCCCAAGCATGCGAAATCATTTTGATTCTTGAAATACACCATGCTCTATACCTCACACTCTTTCCTACTACCGTTCACCATGTGACCTTTACGACGAAACATGATCGAATTGTTTCTGTTTTTTTTGATTGTTCATATGAAAAAAAAGGACGATTTCGTGTTTTGCTTGATTAGAAAAAAGCCAAGAAGAAGGCTCAACGTGCCACCAGCAATGTCTTTTCTATGTTCGATCAAAAACAAGTACAAGAATTTAAAGAGGTTTGAATTCTAAACTCGACTGATCGTTGTCTGCAAAACAAGATCTTATCTTTTCTTCTAGGCATTCGGTCTTATGGATCAAGATCGTGACGGTACAATCAGTTTGGATGACCTCAAAGAAGTTTTTGCTTCACTTGGTAATAATCACATCGAAGGAAACAAGGTTGTTTTTGAAAAATCTTCGGTTTCATTTTAGGTAAAGCACCAAAAGATTCTGAATTAAAAGCTATGCTTGAAGAAGCTCAAGGTCCAATTAATTTTACCATGTTATTAACATTATTTGGTGATCGATTAAATGGTACCGATGAAGAAAATGTTATCTTAAACGCATGGAAAAATTTCGATCCTGAGGCAACTGGATTTATTAACACAAAAAGGTTAATTGCTCTTTTGAATAACAAAAGCAATCCATATGTATTCTTTTCCTTCTCATCTTTCTAGTTTACGTGAAGTTCTTACAGCCGAAGGACGTCCGGATGATCGTAAGTGATTCTTTTTCTGTTCGAATCTATTTCCTATTCCATTTATTTCTCTTTCAAAGGATTATCTGATATGGAGGTAAGGAGAAACATCTATTCGTTGACATTGCCTATTTGTGCCTTTATTTCAGTTCAATCAAATGCTCGAAGGTGCTCCAGTTGATCCAAAAGGCAACTTAGATTACGCTGCGTTTACACGACAGATCAAACGTGGCAAAGAAGACGAATAAATCAAATGAAATTAGTTTAAAAGAAAAAGACCTTTGTGTTTTGTTTAATCACTTTCTTCATAACAACAAAAAAGCAAATAAAATTCGTGCTTAGCCTTTTCTCACTCTCACTTTCTCTTTTTCTTTTTCTTCTTTTAACCCTCATCATCAATCATATACCTTTATTTCATATCTCATTCTTATTTTTTTTGTCTTCATCTGTTTTAACAACAAAATAAAACCGAATGATTGAATAGATATGCTTCTTTTCTCACGCACTCATTTCTCGCACCAAAAATCAACAAACAAATACGATCTATTCAACATTTGTTTCTTTTACAAAGTAGTAAAAACGCTTTTTTTTCAAAGTGTTTCGCTACCATGAATGAATGCAAAACGACACGAACCAAATGTGTTCGATTACACCAACAGTTGCCCATCAGCATAATTAGCTAAACAAAAAACGACTGCGATTTTATCATAAACATGCCGAGAGAAGAGCGAACTCTCACCGTTTGGTCATTGTGATGAAATAATAGAGAAATTCTTGAGTAAAGGAAAAGGAAAAGAAGTCTTTCGAGATGATATTTTTCTTGTTACAAAAGATTAATGAATCAGAAAGATAAACTTTTCTAGGAAATAAGATAGATGATCAATTAATACTCTGTTGTGTGATAATGGATACCGAAATATGAGGATAAGAATTTCACGGACATTGAATGTGTTGACCATTGATTCATATATAAAATCCGTCGTTCCTTCCGCAATTAAATGTTTTCTCGATCAAATAAACTGTTTTATTTCTGATTCATCGTGACTGTATGCAAACAATCGAATTTTCAATAGAAAAGAAAAAAGAAAAACCAAATATTTAACTTCTTTCATTCCTAATCTCTGTAGAAGTGAACGTGATGTATAAAATGGCATATTTGTAGATTCCATCGATGCCGGTATCCAGTGGTTTTGGTTATTATCCGTATAATTATCCTACGACGAAAACAAGGCGCACCATACCGCCAGTTGCTAAAACACAACTGATAGCTCGCGCTCCCAAAGTAAGTCTTCTCTTTGACTCGATTGTTTTTCTCCGTCTACTTTGAAACAGAGAAGATTGAAGCGTCATTTTTGAGTACCGAGAAAAAAAAGACATAGAAATAAATCCGTTAGGCGATTTTTTCCTTTAAAAGGATTATTTACAGAGAAAAAGAAGCAGGTACATATGTCTAAAAATTATTATGTACAGTTTAGACCAGAACAACGGTCAGATCCAAAGACGACGGCAACAACAACGATAAAAACAACTCGAAATCCTTCAAATTCAACACGAGTCAATATTGCTAAACGACCATCACTACGTTCGGACACGTTTTTACTTGTTAAAAAAGCAAACGAAGCGAGATATAAAATGAAGAAGGATGATACTGTTCGGCAGAGTACTCAGCGATTACCCGCGATACGAGTTCCTGCTCAGACTACTTCAATGCCTCCGCAGAAGAAACGCGTTACAACGATACGAACTATAACCATTCCTCAGAGAACGCCAAAGTATGCGGCCTCAACGACATATCGAGAAGATCCTGGTCCACAACCTGTTTATGTTCCGAAACGGCAAGATAGCCCTCGTTACCCGCCCAAACGACCTTCTGTTTATCAATTGAAATCTCCCACTCCAGCCAAGGACACTATGGATATATCACAACGTGTTCGGATTGGCAAGCATGATTATGTAGTACAACGCAAAACAGAAGATACTGGTTATAAGAACACCGATCGTCAAACAGTAGGTTACATCAATCTCTTGTAATAAGAGTAGAGGTACCAGCGTTTGTTATCTATGAATTCTTCGTGATTAAGCTGATAAGATCGTTTGTATTATTTCAACTAAGAGATCTTTTCATGTAGGAAACGATTGTTGAAAGACCTCAACGAACAGTACGCATCCTACGTAAATCTCCGCAGCAAGAGCGAGAAGATGATGATGATGACGTCTACTATCTTAAACCTGCCCCACAACGTCGATCAACAGTAATACGGAAACGCACACCACCAGCAGGATATATTCGTATGAAAAAATCGTCATCAACTCTTGATACACGTCGTTCACCTCGCACCGAAGTAATCTATCTTGATGAAGATCAGTCCGCATCACGTACTGAAAGTTACGTGTACATCGATGAAGACGGCAATGAAGTTAAGATTATCGATGAAAAAGATTCAACACCACGCTATGTGAAATATGCTTATGATGATGACCGCGGGGAACGACGTTCGCGCGAACCAAAAGTAATTTATATTGACAAAAGAGACAAACGACCAAGTCCGGAGCCCCAAGTTATCGTAGTCAAGGAGAAAGAGAAGCGTCCAACACCTGAATCTCAAGTCATCGTTGTAAAGGAGAAAGAAAAGCGTCCCACGCCCGAACATCAAGTAATTGTTGTCAAAGAGACAGAGAAACGTCCAACACCTGAGCCACAGATCATCGTCGTAAAAGAAACAGCAAAACAACGCGCTCCTGAACCAGAAGTTGTCTACGTTACCGAAACTGACAATCGACGAGTACGACAACCCGAAGTAGTTTACGTTCAAGACCAACCGCGTCCGGAGCTGTACTACCTTGGAGAACCCCAAGAACAATACGTTGATCATTCAAATGTTGTTTACGTTGACAATACTCATCCAAGTTCATACCAACCTGATGTCATTTATGTTGAAGATGATCAGTACCCACCATCGTACCAACCGGATGTCATCTATGTCAATGAGCCTCATCAACGATACGCGCATGCACCCGAAGTTGTCTATGTATGAGATTGTAAACATGATGAAATATTAAATAAGCGACTATTGTGAAAAACAATTTTTCATGTAAAGTATTTCATATCGTCGTGTTTTTATCTTGTAAATCGATTCTTAAACGTCCGTTTCATCACTCACATTTCTTACAGATATTGTTAACTAGTTGAAAATCAACGCACATGAATATTTCAGAGAAAAAACGGTGATCAAGTCTACATACTGATTGCTGCTATTATTATTATTATTATTCAATATGAATAGAAAAAAGAAACCAAAAGTTAAAAGAGTGTAATATGTCATGCTGATACACGATTAGGGTGGGGAATCAAAATAGATGGTGATTCATGAGCTAATAATTGTCCACTTTTTTTCAATTGAAAGTATTTCCAAATAGACCAGATTCCAATTAGGATAAGTATAATGGCGAGTAGATGTAAAAGCAAAGTTAAATATTTACCGATTTTTGGTTTATTACATCCGCCTGACTGTTCAGTTTGAAAGCATTTCATCCAAAAGTCATACATCGAGTCGAAATATTTTGGTCGATTATGAATGTTATTCAAGTGAAAATATAAGTAATTATGATCGGATTTCGTGTACGCTTTCCACTCAACGTGTGGTTTAACATTAGAAGATGGATTCTTATTTGGATTTCTAGATAAGACAAAGAGAGAAAAATGAAACAAAAGACACTAAGATCGTTCTGGATAGTTTGAACACAAACCCGGTTTTGATGAAATTTGACCAATAGTGAATAACTTGTCGACTGAAATTGATTTCGTCCGTCGAGTAATTGTAATAACTCATGTTCACATTTTGATGTATCGTAGAATAATTCCGTGCCAATGGGACACCGAAGACATAATCTTTTTTTTCAAAAATTTTGAATTAGTAACAAGATACTGTTTACATTCTTCTCAAACAATGAAATATTCCATTGCGTCGACTGTTTTTTTTCTCCTATTTCGCATCCACTACCGATGACAGTATTTGCAGAAGGTCAAATCATTTTTAGCAATGTACCGAGGCAGTTATCTTCAATTATTTGTCATGTCGACTCTATCCTGTCCTCCCTTTAGGACAACGACATACACATTCTATCTCTCGAATGACGCACTAGCCGATAAAGTCGACTCGTTTAGTCTTACCTAATTCTGCAAAATGTCCAACAGCTTGCGGTAATATTTTCAATTGATCACGAAATGTACTTCGAACTTTGAACGTTGGCCGATGGGAGTAAATATATGCATAATCGGTTGATTTCTTATTTTTCACTTGTTCACGTACATATAAACATCGCACCATGTGAAAATTAAACATTAAGTCCGAAACAAGGTCAATGTAGAGTTTTAGTCGTTCGATGATATCACCTCGAGCTAAGCAAATGTACGAAAAGGCAAATGCATCAAACCTCGTCTCGATGTATCTACCTGTTAATTCATATCTCTGTTTTACATCTGCTCGAAAGCATTGTTCATGTTGAAAATTTGCTTCGATGTATCGTTCAACATAATTCAAATTAGTAAAACGTCCTAGAAGTGTATTGAGCTCGGAGACAAGTGGTGGTTCCGTGCTAGTTGTTTGCTGTAATCTGATCATTTCGTGTCTTCTTCGTTCGTTGTCAAGATGAGTCGAATACGTTATGTCAGGCGCAATGATTGCCGTTGAATTTCTATCGAGAGCTGCTCGTCGTTCGCGAAGTGGAGCCTTACCCATTGATGAAGATTGAGCTTGAAGACCACTGTACAAATGTTTAATATGATATTCAGCAAAATACAACCCTTCGTTCAATGTTACACCTGTCAGAAAATCGACATTTTCATAAAGATCACTTCTCAAAATATTTTCGATAGTATCGTTGATGAAATCGTTATCGATAACAGGATATGGATTATCATCAGCTAAATCAAAAGATCAATACATTTCAACGAGGACATCTTTCGTACTTACCGATACTCAAACTTAAATGAAGACGATAAATATCTGTTGTACCTTCGTCTAATAATTTATGAATGCAATCAAGCATTTCCTTCCCGTCAGGATCTGTACAATTAAACTCTCGCGAGAAGCGTTCGAGTAATTTCGATGGGCTGTGGTTGATGCTCCATGGAGCTAAACCAGTACCTGATTGAGATATAACACGACGGACCATTCCACGACAATGTCGACTGGCTAAAGGTTAAAAGAGAGATAGGTATTTAGTAATGAGAATATTCTATGGATTCAGAAATTCAACCTGGTATTAACATGACATTTCCAGCACCTGCCGAATGTCCAGCCAGAGTTATTCGTTTCGGATCACCGCCGAACAAATGTGCATTTTCGTAAATCCATTCGACAGCCAATAGCTGATCCCATAGGCCATAGTTGCCTTTTTTTCCGAAAATAAATCAAAAATAAACATATACCGTCATAGTTTTTGATTGATATGTTATTAACCACAATAAATGTAAAACTCTATGAGTGACAATGTAGTAACAAGATCAAAATCGGAAAAGTAAACAGATAACTGATGTACTATTAGTACGAGATGGATGGACAGCTCATGGATGAAGACAAGAACATGCGAATGAATTCTCAATCTAAGTCTATTGCTTTTGATTACACATTTTATCGAATGTAACCAAACCAATCCGATGTATTTGCAGCAGATCTATCGCAAAATTCAAGTTCAGATAGATCTGTTTGAGGTCATTCTGTGTAGTTCTACGGTATACGAATATCATTAATTCTAATCCCCTTCTCAGACAATCCTACAGGGAAAATATTCTTAGAATCTTTACCTTTAACTCGATTATCGCCACTAGACAAAAACCCATGATAATTTAGGCGAAAATTCATTGTTATAACAATGATATCACCTTCACTAGCCAATATACTTCCATCGAACAGTGATCCGCCACCTACAATCAGAGTATCGATCGATTGTCTTGTTCCTAAACGTTCCCTTACCTAATTGATTTGAGCCTCCGTGAGAAAACAACATGATTGCTTTACGTTTTTCTCCATGGCGTAGATCAGCTCGATAGATATTCAAAGAAAGACAATTATCACTGAAATTTTGCTGCATTAGAAATGAACCATATGAAAGATTCTCTGCCATCATTTTCGATTGCATACAGCATGCACTGAATTTAGTTGCGTCTTGTAATACATAATCAAAGCGTTTCTTGACGGGTTTTTCCAATGGTCTGGGCGGCTCAGCATAGTAAATGCCAAGAAATTGATCTACAACTCGTTTCCGATAACGAATACGTTGACCATGATAGATTCCTGTTGAAGAGATGAGGTACGGTTTGCGATCATGAAGAAGTTTGTCATATGTCGATAGTTTTAACAATTGATCATGGGTAAGATCAGTTGTTGAAAAGTCTGCTTGAGTTGCTGTTCGATAACACGTTGAAAGAGTACATTGTGGTAACGTTGAATTGTATGTTAACTGCTCAATGAGATGATTCAGTGGTGGGTAGAGAACAAATGATGTTGTTGAAGCGATTAAATTACTGTAGAATAGTAAAATAAGCAAATAATGGACAGACCTACGAGATACATCGTTCATCATGATGAATTCGAGAGAAATGAAAGAAGAAACATTGTTTGGAAATCAATGCCGGTCTTATAAGAGAAAAAAGTGTCGTCAACGTCATGAGAATTAATAATAACATTATCAAAGATGTCGAAATCTGAAATAATCTAGGCCGTCGTCGATCTACTTGACTGATTGATTATTCGAGGTAAACTTGCTAAGATAAACACCTCTAAACATATCAAATCAAAACAGATTGATTAACTTTTCCATTCTAGACAGCCGAATTCTTTGCTTGTTATTCTAAACAAGCGCGATGATCAAAGAAATTTTCATCCGAAAGAAAATCTGTTGCATGTTAATCTACTCAGCTCATTGACCGGAACAGAAGATTACGATTTCATTCCGACAACAATCCAGAATACAATGAGAAAGAAAATCTCCTGAAGATAATCAAGAACTGTTTAAACAAGAGGATGAAATTTGTTTTATCATGCTGTTGTAACACGCACATCGAAGAAAAGAAATCGGATAGATTGGCATATTTTCCTACGTCAGATGTCTTAGCGTCAACAAGAAAAAGAGAAAAATCTTGTATGTGATTTACATGAATCAATTAACGAATCGAATTCACCTTTGATATGTCAACATTCAATGATAGCTGTCATGATTTGATGAGAAAAGAGAAAGAAATACATCCGATTCTTCGTGATAAATAACTGTGTGAATGAAGTCGACAGTTAATCAGACGGAGTTTTTATATCTATCATTCATTTGGTCCAGTTGATTATCGTTTATTGAAAAGATTGATATGCATCAAGAAGAAATAAATACTCGTGTAAAAAAAAAAACTTTTCATATATCTTTTCTATGATTGAATTTCTTTGCCGAAGTGAAATCGAAATAAATAGAACAAGATATCACTAATTCAATACAACATTTAAAGACAAAATGTATTAGAAGACAACTGATTGAAAAGGTTCCGTCGGCTGTTAAAGCTGCTTTACGCTGATGCTCCTTCGGAGGGTAATGTTGAACACTAGAAGAAAAGGAAACAAGCGACAATTGATTTCAATGGGAATGTCAACATACTTCTGTAAGAAACTTTTGTATCTGCGTTGAATAATTCCGTGTAAGCCAAGTTGTATTATGTTGACCGTCGGAAAATAAAGTCAGTTGCTTTTTTGTACTTTGACATTCCTAAAAATTCAAGATCTAATGGTTTCAAACTAGTTTAGAATCGACGAACGTCATGTAGTTTGCGCATCATCTGTGGTGGCACTAGTTCGTCTTGTTCACCGGAGAGGAAAAGTATAGGTACTTTAATGTGGCGAATTTTGCTAATTGAGGAGTACTAAAGTTTGTTCGAAACACATTTCAATCGATTTCCGTTTCCAAATATCTTACTAAATTCTTGTAGTAACAAGTAGGTATATAATCAAGTATGAAAAACTGAAACAATCGTTTGGCCATGTCGGGTATTGACGTAAATGTATTTTCAACAATAACACAATGTAATGGAGGTGATGCTTCATTTTCAGCAAGATATGCAGCTTTGGATGCACAGAAAACAAACGAATATAGTTATACATGTGTTTTAAGATAATTACCGAGATGCAAGGCAACGGCGCCACCTAATGAACGTCCAAATAAAATAATTCTCCCTTGATTTAAATCATTTCGTGATCGAACAAAATCATATACAGCTTGTGCATCTGTATAAAGACCTGATTCTGATGGAATACCAGTTGATTTGCCGTATCCACGATAATCAAATAAAAGAATGTTAATGTTACATGTTCGATAGAGTAAATGAGCGTTTTGTAACCTAAATGTTATTGACATTATCAAAATTTCGTTTTTCTTCAAGAAACACTTTATTAGCTCATACCTATGTCCTATGTTTCCTGCATTTCCATGAAAGAAAATCAATGTTGCACATTCTTCACTTTGTCTCATTTGTGTTAGTAAATATCCGTGCAATTTTTCATTGTCAGCTGTTTCAATAATTATCGTTTCATATTCCATATGAAATAACTCGGGCGTTTGTACAATTGTTCGTGCGGTATCTGGCTCATTCGGTTGATAAAGTAACATATCTTGTAAACCGTATAGTGAAGCTAAACTTGTTCATTGTATTCACTAATTAGAAAAGAACAAACGTACTTACATAGTATTCCAAATATGAGAACAAGAATCATTATAATGTTTCCGAATAATTGATAGAAAAGATAAAATGCAAATAAGGATAAACCAAATGTTATTGAGATTTCTTGAAGGATAGCTGATAGGTGACATTTTTTGTTATTAATTAACGCTGAGTTTGCCAATAGATGGTATTTTTTCTTGGAACACATTTGACCTAGAGACCTGTAGACGGATGAAAGGTATCGTGAAACCATGATGATAGAAGACCAACAATGACGTTTTATTAAAATTCGTATCGACATAGACCATTAGTTAGTTTTCTTCAAGAAATTTCTATTCATCTAGAAGGAAAAACAACAATTCAGATCAAGATTCAGTATATCAACCAGAAGTAACATGTCCTTATTCTTCCTGGTACACAGAGCAAAAACATGTGCTATTTTTTGAACATTATAATTAGTTATAAGTCGTCCATCAGTCGGAGCAGATCTTTATACTGCTGATGAATTTGTTCATTATTTTCCTGTTGTACTTGATGATATTCTTTGTCATAGTAAACATTTTGTGCCTATGTTCTTTTCACTCATATGAAGAGTCAAATGAAGCCACAGATCATGCTTCTTGACGGAAAAGAAGCCTAATGTTGATTGATTTCAAGTAATTAAAAGTATTGCAACCAGACTGTGAGTCTATTCACCATGCTGCATTTGAGTGAGTCAAATGATAGTTGCCATGTTGTTTTCTTTTTTTCAAATTCTTTTCATTTACAGTTCAACAGAAATATGTAAAATCAGTTAGTTAGTCAGGCAAGTGTTTGATTTGCTATTGCTAAAGTGTTCATCCAATGATAAAAGAATTGAAAGAGGTCGTTGACGTCGTTATCAATGAATCATTTGATTAGATAAATGCTATTCTGGTGTCTATTGTTACTTTTTCTCGAACATTTATTTATTTTTTCTTGTATCAAAATTCTTTCACTCAAATCACTACGAAACATTTTTGATTAATTTCATTGACCTAAATGCATTTTCCGTTTGCTTGTTGTGCCCGATAAATCTCTCATCAGCGCAGAGAAAGAGTCATCGAAAGAACATCGCGACATTGAGAAAAGAAAAAAACCTTATATAATTCTTCACAGTTGCTGCTTTTTCTTCGGCTAAATATTCAAACAATGACAATAGTTTCTTTTTAGCGATAGTTTTTCGGCCTATACCACTAATGAATAGTGCAAAGAAGCAAACAGTACTAGCCTACACATGTCAGCATGACCTTTTGAATTCTTTTTTTCCATTTTTTCAGATGATCACGAATCCAATGAAACGCATGAGAAAAATCGTTAGTAAAAAAAAACGACGTTATCAACAAGACGGATTCGATCTTGATTTAGCCTGTAAGAAGCGAAGATCACTGAAAGGTAAACCGCATCTCTTTTATTTTTGACATAGACATTCGTCCCAATATGATTGCGATGGGTTATCCAGCTGATAATTATGAAGGTGTCTATAGAAATAATATTGCTGATGTTAGTCGGTGAGTACCTTCTTGTTCAGAAAGCAACCAGGACTTTGTTGTTTCTTTTGTGCAACAGATTTTTATCATCAAAACATGGAGATAAATATTATATTTATAATTTGTAAGTGAAAGTTCAGCGGGTTAAACAAGAAGAGCACTACGGATGGTTTTAGATGTGTGGAAAGCGAACGACAATACGATGGTGCACGATTCCATAATCATGTTTGTTCAGATTTCAGTTTCGAAGATCACAATCCTCCGACGATTAAAATGATACTAGCTTTTTGTCAGCATGTTTCAGCACAATTGAGAGACATGGCTGATCGAACGATTGTCATACATTGCAAAGCGGGCAAAGTACGTTTTCTTTCATTCGCTTATTGAGAATCGAGAGTTCGAGGCGAAAACCTGCCTGTTCTTTCGGTTTGATTTGTTGGTCTATAATTCAATACATTAAGAATTTATGTGTAAATTTAGGCGAAACAAAAGCCGTGTTTGTCTAATGTTTCGAAGAAATTTAGCCTGGAGATGTTTTTCTTGAATATTTCATAATAAAAGTCAATATTCTCCAATTTCTAGGGTCGAACGGGCGTGATGACGTGTTGTTTTCTATTGTATTATTACCAACAAGAGTATAATGATCCATTGCAAACGTTAAGATTTTACGCACAACAAAGAACATCGAATGAAAAAGTAAAAGTCGAGATTCTGCGTTTCAAATTTCAAAATATTCGTTCTCTTCTTCATTACAGGGTGTTACCATACCTAGTCAACGTCGTTATGTTGAATACTTGGGCCATTTATTAAATAGTCAAGTGACTTACACACCGAAACAAATCCTCTTCACCGGTTTACTAATAACATATGATCTCAATCAAATGAATCATACAAGTTCGTCGAGAATCTTCTCATCGCATCTCTCGTAATTGTTCTCGTTGAACTTTAGGTCTTTCCTATACAGTACGATTAGTATCACCTGACCGTCGTATTCAATACAAGTCATTCGAAGTATCTCTTGAACGTGATTTGACCATACGTCGAGATTTACCAGCCGACTATTCTGTATTGGAAGCCACACACAAACATTTCATACCTCCATCGAATTCTGAATGTCGAATTCTATTGGAAGAAGACGTCCTGATTGAAATTTATCTAACGAAAACACGACGAGCAAAACCTGTAAGAGAAGAAAAGTTCGTCTTTCCTTCCATATTGATAAGGTTTGTTTTTCTTAGGAAAAATTATGTCACTTTTGGTTCAATACTTTCTTCCTTGTCGACTCGAAACTGCGAACAATTCTAAGCGACAATAGCGACAAACAACCGGAAAGTAATCTGGGAATACTTAAATCATGTTTAATACCAAATTATGGTCACACACATTTATATACAATGATCAAAAAAGATATTGATGGTCTACATAAAGATAAATTACATCGTTTAGCACCACCATCATTTTCTGTAAGTAGATTCATTTGAAACGAAGATTTTGTACTCCGTTTCATTATTTCGAACTAATTGAAGAGTCGACATCGGGGATTCTTCTGTTACAAGACACATTTGACATCATATGTGATATCGAGAAAACAACTGATGATCAAATAGTATGTTCAAATGATTTCCCAGAAGAGTAGAACATAATACTCCATGTTTAAATAAGAATTTTCGAGCTTACACTCGGGAGAAGCACATCAATAAGTTTCTTTTTGTTTCTTCTAGGTATCTGTTCTATTCGATTATCTACCATCGTCATCTTCCTTTTCATCGCCGACCGTTCAACCGGATCCAAGTTGTCCTCTCTCGGAGAAATTACCTCATGTCGATTTGAAACTAATCGAATCGAACAGCAATTCATCACTGATTATCGGCCCATCGGATAAGCTGATTGATCAAGATGAATTGAAACCAAATAATCCAATAAATGAAAAAATAACGAAAATCAATGGAAGTCGTCGGACGGAAAGATCTGCATCAACGAGTCGTCGTTCATTTGCTTTATATTCCAATGGTATGTCCGATTGGGATAGTACAGATTCTGAATCAGGACCAAATGAAAGCAATCCTAATGATGAACCTGATATATCATGAATATCGTTTTTTCTCATCTTCTACTAGCCTTGTACATAGAAACAAGCAAATCCAAGGAAGAAACGAAAGAAATCTCATTGTATGAGTCTGTTTATAGTCTTCTTTTTTTCTCCTGTTTCGCACAAGAGCAGACAAAAGAGAAACTTATTATATGTCTCTGTGTATAAGTTGAACAGTACATCAAGTTTTTTTTAAACAAAGTTATGTGTATCGTAGTATTTGTGTTTGATGTAAATGGATTTTTTCATTCAATTGTTAATCATATATACGAATATTTTTCTGTTGTGCCGATTGATAAAAATCTTCATTTAGATTTTGTTTTCGTTACTTGCTCACTTGTTCAATCTCCTATTATTGAATTGAATTAATCACAAGCGATACGCAATGCACTACTTTTCATGTGTCATCGCTCTATTCGCATAGAATGCAAGGAGAACAGGTAGAGTTTATCTCGTGGATATCTGTCTTTTTCTTCTGTCTCGCTATTTTTATAGATCAGATGTCAATGCGCTTCTTCTATCAGACAATATTAATTCGAAACGCACAATATAGTAACCCCTCAGAAAATAAGCACGAATCGCGTGTTAATCTGCCCCGTTTTTATTAATAAACACTCATACGTAACAAGCAGATACGATTCTGCATCTACCCCCGTCTTCTGTCACCTGTATCTATCATCATAACTTGCTTTTTTTCTTGCTTTTTCGATTACTGTATATGTGCGGGCACATATAAATATACACTTATTCTTTTCACTATCATTTAGTAGTTTTCGTTGTTATTGCTTTTTTTTTACTTGATTGAGTGTTTGCGACAAGAAAAAAGCATGCATCTGTCTTAGGCTGTATGCTTTGTGTCGACGGTCGATTTTTTTTGGCGAAGTGAAGAGGAAGGAGAAGGAAATTAGTTGCCCATTCTGCCGTCATTTACTACCCTTTTTTTTCGCGTACTGGATCATTATTAATATAATACTTATAGAGTAGAATACAAGGACTTTCACGCAAAAATACACTACACTACACGCACCCATTCATAAGCTTTGATCTTTTCAAAGATAAGGTGAGCGTCAGATGCATTTCTAACACTAGTGAGAGAGAGAGAGAAATCGTCGCAAAAGAGCTTGTGAGAAAAAAGAAAAGAAAGGAAAAGTTTCATGTAAATATATACATCGATAGGCAAGTCTAATATTTTAAGAAGACTTTTAATATTTACATTAAAAGTAACTAGTTTTCTGCCATATGCTTATTTGAAAGCATCTCGTGTGTGAACGCATTTCTGCAACACATTGAACTTTTCTCTCTCGTTTTTAATCAATTAAAATCAAGGTTCTTTCCTTTTCTTACGAGAATGATATGTTGTCATTTTTGTCATCAACAGCATGCATGCTGAAGTCCAGGACGATGGGGGCGAAAAGACTTTTTCTTTCCTTCCTTTTTTTTAGATTTCTTTTTCTTTTCTGCGTTATGTTATAGTTCCATAGATTCATCTTTTCTTCCTTCATATTTCATCCACAAAAGAAACGACGAACAATGGTGCAAAAATATCAATCACCCGTGCGTGTTTATCGTTATCCATTTGAACTCATCATGGCAGCGTATGAAAAACGCTTTCCAACGTGCCCGATGATACCAGTTTTCCTTGGTTCTGATATAACTTCTGAATATCACAGTGAAGATGGAGCAGTGGATATCGTGGAGCGACGTTGTCGACTGAATATCGATGCACCGTATCTACTCAAACGGGTAAATAATGTTTCTACTGTTTATCTCCTAATCGTGGGTAAAGAAGTGTAGTTGTTAACTAACAATGATGTCTTTTAAGAAAGACAAGAGAAGAACTCCTAATTACAGTTGTCAAACTTGAAAAGCAGACATTTTCTCATTTATCTGAGTAACTATCGTAGAATTAAATACTAAAAATAGATGAAATAATTCACGAAGAGAAAAGAAGAATCAATGAAAGAGAAAATTATTTTTCTTCGCCTTTTAGATTGTCAATGTCGAACATGTAATATTTCTGCAAAAAAATCATCTCGATCGCCGGCAACGCACCTTACGCATCGATGCATGCAATGAGAGTTTCTCGTCGCGTTTGGATATCAAAGAATTTTGTCAATATTATGTATGACAAATTTTAACTTGACTCTCGAAAAAATATTCCTTGAATTTGTTTCCGTTTAGGTTCATCCTGATAATGATTTATGGACATGTTTCGAGCAGAGTGCTTTTCTTGACATCAAGTCGTTCTTTGGCTTCGAATCGACTGTGGAAAAACTAGCGATGAAACAATATTCAGCTAATCTTTCGAAAGGAAAAGAAATTATCGAATATTATATCAATGAATTAGCGAATGAAGGAATAACAAGTGTACCGATTTGGGTCGAACCAGCTTCAGCATTGTTGAAAAGCCCTGATTCAGAATCAGCAACAACACCGGCAGCAGCAGCAGCAACTGGAGCAACAATATCCGTTAGCGATGATCCGTCATTGATTGCTGCACGTCGAAGATTGTCGTCGCAAGACACATCAAATATTTTTATCCCGTCATCACCGCCCAAAGCGTCTGGAGTGACTCCAACTGCAGCAGCGAATTTTTCGGCTTTATCAGATGACCTTGAAACACTTCAAGCTGATGAAAGTTCTCAAGAAAAACGACGTACATGTTCCTTAATCCAAAGGGTTCTTGTTTTCATTCGATTGTTGTTTTATACTTGTAGGAAACATCGACGATGAATATATACGTCGTTATATTGGACAACTAGATCCATTTGAAGAGAGTTGTCTTGTACAACTTCGTAAATGGGTCGCCGAAACGCATAAAGGAAAAGTAAACGACTTTACTACGATTGTCATGGAGTTTTCATCATTAATTTTGGCTTTTAGTTGCCTAATAATTCACATTTACTTCGATTTCTTCGTGCTCGACGTTTCGATATCGAAAAAGCAAGAGAAAGTATTTGCCATTCCTTAGCATGGTAAGTTAAGCTCCATCCTTCATAACTAATTAACGTTTCCGGAGGACACAACATTTCTAAACAAATACTCAGGAATACTTCACGTGAAATATGTGCACTTTTGTTTATTATTATGTACTCCGAGTAGCGATATTGCTTTTCAAAATGACAATTTAATCCGATATTTTCGATCAAATCATCATCAGCGATAATAGGTCTATATATCTACACATATATGGCAATCCAATCGAGCATATCTCATCGGAAGAGTTGTTTTTTTTATAAAACAAAAAAAAACTCATTAATCTATGCCCTTATGGAAGAATATTGCATGTCTGTTTTCTTAACTTTAGCACGGATTCTCGTTCGGCAATAACAACCTCATTGAATAATTCTTCGTCTGTATTGCATGTCTGATGTGAGATTAAATACCTCTACGGGTTAAGAATCTTATCTGAGCAAGCTCGTTCTTCGAAATAAGACTATTCACAAAATCTCTTTTTCCAGTTCACTTAATTATTATCAATAGGAAATACTGCATGCTCTTCCACAATGTCTAATACATTTAATGGTGAAAGAAAATATCGATACACCACATGGAATATCCTATTAAGTAGTTAATCATAATAAGAACCATCTTTTTTGCCTTGAGATTGTCTTTAAGATGCGTCTGTATTCGTCAGAAAGCATCGCCGTCCAAAGGAAAAGAATATAAACAAATTTGTCTGAAGAGAAAAACGATCCAGATGGACATGAGCGATACATCATCAAACGACATTTAACTACTTTTGTTTTGTGTTTTCGTATTCGGATATGATGAAATGTTCTTTTTAGGCGTAAGAAAAATTGTATCGATCGTTTATTGATCGATTATGACACGCCAGAAATGATTCAACGCTTTTTTCCCGGTGCTTGGGGCGGAAATGATCGTGATGGTCGACCGATATACATTGTTCGAATCGGAGAGATTGATGTTCGCGGATTGATGAAGGCTGTACATGGTGATGATACATGGATAAGACATGTGTGTAAAATGATCTTGTTACGAACTAATGGAATATTTCGAAATTTTTCTAGGTTGTGTTTCTGGTCGAGCAAGGTTTGAAAAAATGTGAAGAAAATACGAAACTGTTCGGTAAACCGATAAAGTAATGAGATAATGAATTCTGTAGATAATTAGTAAAGAATGTGGTTCTTTTGTTTTTAGTACGGTTTGTGTGATTCTTGACTTTGAAAACTTCAGTGTTAAGCATCTCTATCGACCGGTCTTTCGGGTTATTTCACAAATAAGCGATACGGTCGAAGCCAATTATCCGGAAACGCTTGGAAGGTATGTCAAGTTTGATTGAATGTGAATTTAATAATGGAAATCGATTTAGAATGTTTCTAACCCGTTGTCCACGTCTCATCCCAGTCCTATGGACAATCATCAATACGTTCGTTGAAGAGCGTACGCGTGAAAAATTTGCTATATTAAAAACTGATGAGTTAATCGAATACATCGATGAAATCAACATTCCGGACTTCCTCGGCGGTCAAATGCCTGTATGTATATTAAAGATTGCTTTGAATCTAGAACAACTACACTAACGAGTAGAAATAAAGAAAGATCGTAATTCTCTTCGTGACAAACAAAAACAAATTGCTTCTGGAATAACGAAGCATGATGACCACTATTGCAAAGTCTATCTAGTTAAGAATACGACATAGTAGGCATAGACCTTGTTGACACTCATCCATCTGAACTGAATAGTTCTTTCGAAAACATGACATACTTTCTTGTGTAAACAATAACTTATAACAACATATTTGACTTACACCTTAGTTTGATTTGTTTTTCTCGTTTATTTAGTTTCAAGCTTCATCGGGTGGTATAGTGCCACGTTCTTGTTACACTCGTGAAGATGAGCCTGATAAATTCGATGCAGAAAGTTCATTATTTGGCGACAATTCGTATACAGTTGTTTCGATAAAAGAAGGCGGTGCACATGAGGTTTGTCTTGTGTGAAGTATAAACGGTATTGATCTGTCTTCTCTTCGGAATAGGTCGCTATTCCATCCATGCAGAAAGGCGATCGACTTTGGTACGATTTTGATTTGTTAAAATCTGAATGTACTTTTACGATTTATCGAATTGGAAAACTGAAATCGTCGGAGCACGAAGAAAACGATGATCATATACACTCATCATCGTCTGCTCAAAAATCAAGTTCAACGATACCAGCAAGTACAATCTACGAGAAACCACTAGTTGAGTCGACGGCTGATGATATTGTCCGTTTGACTCAACCAATCGTTTATCATGATGGTGATTCAGTGCAACAGACTTATATCTGTCAACAATCAGGAAACTACGTTTTGCAATGGCGTCATTCGACAAGTCATCATACGAGCAGTCCATTTGATTTTATTAGCGGTAGTCACAAAACGAAAATTATGTATCATTATGAACGACAATCCTCTACTTCATTGACAAGCGATGTAACTTCAAACGGTTACATTAATAATGAACAGCGTACATCATTGACTTCATCATAGAAAGGAAAATGTACGATTTTTCTTTTACGTTTTTGATTTTATATATCACGGCTTGGTCCGTAGCGAAGAAAACATGTTCATCTCGTTTTCTCTCATTTCACTTTTCTTTCGAGCACACACACACACTTTTCTCGACATTTTTTCTCACTTTCTCTTGCAATACTGTCTGTCTGTTGATACATATCTCATTACTATAACGATCATCTGATATCAGAAGCAACTGCTCAGGCAGACAGGTACTCTCTTTTTTCTCTCATATATTTATATATGTCTGTAATAAAACAAAAGAAAGCAAATCGATTGCTGTTGCTGCTGTTTTTCTTCCTTCTAAGCAGAATGACTCACCTGTTGCGTATGTATGAGTTGATCGAAAGAACACATAACATGTGCTCGAATGTTTCATAACCGTTCGCTGTGTGACAAAATAAAGCACGTACAAAAGTTTTCTTTGAGAGTGCATGAATCATCTAACGTATGTTGGAGTTTGAATGTTACAAAGTGCGTTGTTTACGTGGAGTTTAGTCGTAGCATGGACGTTCTTCTTTTCGAGAACATCGCGTATTTTGATCTTTTTTTTATCGCGCAGGACAACCTTTGGTTGACTCGAAATCAGACATTTCGATAAAAGAGATTACTCTTTGTCTTTACGACATAGTGCGTTTCAAAGGTGGCTAAGGACGAATGACATAACGTTTTCCTTTGAAATTAGAAAAAGAGCTATCGCCAAGACAGGTGTGTATGTGCGAATGTTTATCTTTTCGTTCTTAATTAAATAAATATGGCGAGATATTTTCTATTGGTCAGTAGCTGTCTTCGAGAAACGAAAAAGAAGTCATAGTTTTGTGTAATAAATACGATGATATTAGACTATTACTTTCATAATTTCTAGATCACATTCATAATGTTAAAATTTTCTATATTTATCTTTTGTTTCTTCTTGTATCACATTGTTGCTGAGGTATGAAATGAATATCTTTGTGAATCTTCTCATCTATAAACTGGTTTCATTTTGGATTAAGGATGGCCATTGCATTTGGTATGACCAATGTGGAAGAAATTCTAAAGGCAAGCTTACAAACTGTGAATACAATGGTACTGCAAAATTATTGACAGATGAAATCGCTTTACAAACATTAGAAACAGCTTGCGGAATGGTCTATAATGGTAAGTAAGATTTGTCTAGCTTCACAACTAAATGACAAATAGGATAGACATCAATAATGGGTATCTGTCAAAGAAATCTAGCATGTCAAACATCCGTTGACATTTACTGTTGAGGAAAAATTTCTGATTGCATTTTTCAGAAATGTATCGTCTACTTTATTTAGGACAAAATGATACCTACACTTGTTGTTCATCGGAACAAATAGCGACGATGGCGGATCAATTTGGTATGGCAAAACTGATGTTAGGTCGCTGTCCATCTTGTTACTACAATTTTCGTTCGTTGTTCTGTGCTATGACGTGTGCTGCTAATCAGAGTAATTATCTGAGTGTTGTTGAAACGGGTACCAGTGAAAAATATCCGGGACGTATTACTGTTGAATCGATTAATTATACAGTTGCTGACGATTTTGCTCAACGTATTCTTGATTCGTGTCGGTCAGTAACCTGTGATGACTTTCTTTTCTCAATCGATATGTAACGTTGCACATTTTCTAGAGATGTCTTATATCCCGGCGGAAATCAACACTCACTCGATACCATGTGCGGTCGTCCGTACGATAAATGTACAAAAGAATCGTTTATGCAATATTTAGGCGTTGACAATCCTGCTGTACCATTTCCTATTTATATTCTATTTCAAAATGATACAACAAAAAGTGAAACCTATTTTAACCAGACAACGTTTCTGTGTAATGAACCGCTAATAACACAGTATGAAAATAAAACTGCCTGTGGTTGTCTAGTAAGTCTTGTGCAAACATGAAGACTTTCCGGATGATTGATAATGAAATAAACGTTTGACATTAGGACTGTTTGAAATCGTGCCGACCGTTACCACCGGATGTACCCGAGAAAAAGTTTCTTATATTTAATATGGATGGCTGGGTTGTCATTGCTGTAATATGTACTGTATTTCTTTTAATTGTATTTCATGGAACCATGGTTATTTTGCCTACATTTCGAAAGCGTCCAACAATTATCATCGAACAACCAACAGGTAAATTAAATTCATTTCGTTCTTGGATTTCAACGTATCGTGCTCTAATTGTAGAAGAAACTTCCCTGTTACGTGTAACTGTTCGTACGAAAAAAACAGGTTGTCTTATTAGTATTCGTCGTCGTACAGAACAATATCTGGAACGAATATTCTTTCGGTAGGTGAAATGCCAAACGAATTTTCTCAAACAGCTCTTCGATATCTTTAGACTTGGCCTTTTCTGTGCTCAACATCCGTTCATTGTTTTGCTCACCGGTACTATTGTCATCGCTGGTCTTTCCAGCGGTTTAATCAAATTTCAAGTGACCACCGATCCCGTTCAATTATGGTCAGCTAAATCGAGTATTGCTCGTCAACAAAAAGATTATTTCGATAAACACTTCAAGTAACATTCATTTTCTTTGAATTTCTATCGAAAACTTTCTCTGTCTTCTAGACCTTTCTACCGAACAACACAATTGATCATTGTACCAGATGATCAAACGTTTGAAACATTCGATTATCTCTCCCCACCTGCGCCTTACGCTGAATACACATTTGGTCCTGTATTCAAACTGGATTTTCTTTCACGTGTACTTGATCTTCAAACGAAAGTGCTATCATTAACAGCTGATGTCCATGAGAAAAACCGAACGGTTCACTTGTCGGACATTTGCTTCAAGCCTCTGGAGCCTGACAATGAGAATTGCACAGTTTTCTCGATCTTACAATATTTTCAGAATTCGCGTGAAAATCTCTATAAGCGTATTGGCGATGATTTTTTTACATGGTTTGACTATACAACTCATTTTATCAGTTGTTCACAAGCACCAACAACAACAAATGATTCGCTGGGTCTTTCGTGTTTCGGAGATTTTGGTGGAACAATAAATCCGTTTATGGTTCTGGGTAATTATTCCGATGCAGCTTATGCCAATGCAACAGCATTAGTAATTACTCTTGTTATTGAGAATTCTAATGATCCGGAAAAAGTTCAATTAGGTTTGTTTGCATCTCGTTGTAATCTGAAAGTTTTCCTTACGTGTATCTGTTTTAGCCGAAGCTTGGGAAAAGGTTTTCCTTAGTTTTATGAAGAACTTCACAGAAGAACAAAAATCTCTACGTGCTGCTGGAGAATGGAACAAAACAGCAAATTTCACTGTGTATTACAGTGCTGAACGTTCAATCGAAGATGAATTAAATCGACAAAGTCAATCAGATATTTTAACCATTGGTATCTCTTATACAATCATGTTTCTCTATGTTACCTTAACACTCGGTCATATTCGATCATGGCGTACTTGCTTAATCGATTTGAAAATCTCCGTTGGATTCATCGGTGTTCTTTTTGTTCTGTTATCTGTAATGAGTTCGATTGGATTTTTCTCCTATTGTGGTATTGCTGGTACATTAATTATCTTCGAAGTTATACCATTTCTGGTCTTGGCTGTTGGTGTAGATAATATTTTCATTATTGTTCAACATTTCGAACATATGAAAGATGAAAATTATCCATCGATTGATATACGTTTAGCCACAACAATCAGTCGTATTGGTCCATCAATCTTACTGACGGCGTCAAGTGAATCGATCGCTTTTCTTCTTGGTGCATTGACACCAATGCCAGCTGTCCAAATCTTTTCGTTATACGCATTTATGGCTGTATTAATTGATTTTCTACTTCAAATCACATGTTTCGTGTCGGTACTTGCACTTGATGCTCGACGACAAGATTCGAATCGACCTGATCTCTGTTGTTGTGTACCAGTATCTTCAACTTTACCAACAGATAATCCGAATGAACCAAAAAGTAAAGGAATTCTACAACAAATCTTCACTAAAGTTTGGACACCATTGGTTCTTGGTAACACTTATGTTCGTGCACTTATATTTTCAATCTTTATCACAATCACATGTTTGTCGCTATCAATCATTCATCGAATACCTATCGGTCTTGATCAAAAACTATCAATGCCAAAAGACTCCTACGTATTAGATTACTTCTATGGGCTAGAAAACTATCTCAGCGTTGGCCCACCAGTATATTTTGTGGTTAATCAAGATGCAATTGATTATAAAAACATACGTGAACAAGATTTACTCTGTGGAACATCGGGTTGTTATTCAACATCTTTACTTGGACAAATCGGTGAAGCATTGAGACAACCGAAACTTTATTATCTTGCTCAACCACCTTCGTCATGGCTTGACGATTATTTCGACTGGTTACAATCGACGAATGATCCACCCTGTTGTCGAATAAACAATCAAACGCACGAATTTTGTCCAGCAACGTTAAACGATACATTATGTCTGAAATGTCCAATAACATTCCAAGATAATCAACGACCATCGCCAGACGATTTTCAAAGATATATTCAATATTTTCTCATTGACAACCCCGGAGAGAAATGTCCTAAGGGTGGTCATGCTGCTTATCACGATGCTGTTGAATTAATTAACCGAACTGAAGTGAAAACATCCTACTTTATGGGTTTTCATTCGGTATTGAAAACATCCAAAGACTTCATCAGTGCAATGAGAAGTGCAAATGAGATAGCAAAAAACATCTCCAAAACCATTCTAAACAATCAAACTCGACCTTACCATGATTCGAACAAGCTCGAAGATTATCCCGTCTTTCCTTACAGGTAATTATATTTCAGACAACCTCACTATGACATCTAATTGAACCGATATCCATCAAACGTCATGAATATCTAATTGTGACACATGAGATAGCTAAAGCATAAATGAGTTGCGTGAGTTTCCGCTTGAAATAATCAACATCAAAGACGATGTGAATTACCATCAATCTGTGAAAAAAACTGAAAATAAAATATTTCTGGTGCATTGTTTACGCAGTGGGAGCCTATTTGGAAACAAAAAACAGATTTATGAATAACAGATCTTTGAGAGATACGTTTCCAAAGACATCTCGACATTACTGGTCCATGATTTTTTTTGATGAAACATGCTTATAATATTCACAAGTACGAGAGCAAAGCATCTAATTACTATTCTTCTCATTAAAGTACAATATGTAGTCAATTTAGCATAGAACCGTTTTTATCATCAAACTTCATGATTTCATGATATCTAAAGAACCAGACACAATTGTTTTTTTAATCTAACATCGCTTCCTTCAATTTCATCTCTTCAAACCAAGGTTTCTGCTTACAAATGACTTATATGTCGATTGAGAACGAGGTACCTTAGTTCATTACCTAACGATCGGATAACATTACGTACCATAGAACGCATAATTAACTGAACTTGAAATACATTTTAGTTATCTGTCCTCTTTTCAGTGTATTCTATGTTTTCTATGATCAATATTTGACCATATGGCGCGATCTTATTGTGAATTTGATTTATTCGTTTACGGCTGTATTTCTTGTTACATGTATTTTACTTGGTTTCGACTTTCATACAGCATTCCTAATTCTTCTTTGTGTATTCATGATTATCATCGACATGTTTGGTGTTATGTATCTGTGGCACATTGAATTAAACGCAGTATCTGTTGTAAATATCGTCATGGTAAGATTTTATGACATGTTGTCATCCGAACTCATTGTTCTCCTTTGCAGTCGGTGGGTATTGCAGTTGAATTCTGTGCTCACATTGCACGTTATTTTGCTGTTCAGTCGGGTGAGACTCGATTGATCCGTGCTCGAATAGCATTAGCTGAGATGGGTAGTTCGGTAAGCTTGCCATTCACATTCGAGTGCATATCGAACAAAAAAAGGATCTTTCTTTTCCTCTTCTAGGTGTTTAGTGGTATAACATTAACTAAAATCGGCGGCGTCGTAGTTCTCGCTTTTGCCAAGTCGCAATTGTTTCAAGTGTTCTATTTCCGAATGTACTTCGCTTTAGTCATTGTCGGAGCAATGCACGGTTTACTATTTCTGCCGATATTATTGAGCTATTTCGGTATGTAGGAGATTTTCATTGAATTCATTTTCAACACATTCGCATGTCATTTGATCTTTCCAGGTCCTCAATCACTGGAATTTTATGATGAAGAAAAACTAGCCCGTCAAGTTAGTGCAACTAACACTAGTTTATCAAGTGGAATAAATATTAATGATGATGAAGGTGACATATGTGATTCTTCAAGAAAATTATAAAACACGAACGGGTTGTTTTTTTTTTCTGTGTACTCCTTCCTGTCAGATGCGTCTTTTTTCTTCGCTGTGAATTCCTTGAAAAAAATAAATCTAATATTCTTCGTTATATTCAACTCATATCATAAGGTAGGCTAAACGACATTCTTTGATTAACTATCTGGATTGAAATAAAGAAGATAAGAGAATGATAACCAATCTCAAACTCGATCCTCTTGTTTTTCCGACAAAAACCTGATTTTTCCCGTCAAGATTAGCGCAAATGACTTTCTAGTAGACATGATAAATATTTATAATCTCGTTTTCCTGTTTAACATAGGGCATGCAACAAAGAGAGAATGAGAAACTCGAGTCGAGTTTATCAGGCAAGTCAACGACGCATATCTTGCCGAGGATTAACGTATGATACTAAATTAAAATAATGCATTTTTTTCTTCTTCTCTGTTCTTTCTCTTTCCTTGACAACATGTCAGGAATCTTACATTAAGGAAATGTCACTGCTTTCTGTTAACTCATTTAATATTTCATAAGCAACTCTTCATTTAGGACGACATGCATGGCTTTCTTCACAATAGAACATTGCTTTTGCCGAAGAGCAAATAATCGATAGAGTACCAACTACGACCGCCATCTGGAATGGCAATTCACTGGAGAATTTTTTTTTTCCTTCACAACCGAAAAACATTTTTTTATCGAAAGAAAATTTTCGTGTTCAATACTTTCCTAAGAATCAATGGTAATTTTCCGATATGACGAAATATTTGCCAATGATCATCCGATGATCGTCATTTTCTTTTTCAATGTGTGAGCCAAAGGGAAATTTCTTTTCTTCCTTCTATAGAAATTGCGTTTTTCTTCTTTCATCATTTAATATTCTTTGCAGAATGAGTTTTGTTTTACTTATGCGCATATTCCATAACTCTTCAACAATGAGTTCGTAGGTGCGTATATCGTGCGTTTCCTAATGAATATCTTCTCACTTCTCGGCATGCTCCGAATACTCTTTTCTCCTGTAGGTATCGAGTGAATCAACAATATGACATGACTATATTTGCCCTGAAATGTTTTTCTTGTCTTATTACTAATTGTGATATATCTGACTTACAAAATCTTCGTGAACATGTATACCTTTATGTGTCATAAAATTAACTAAAGAAATGTATTTTGGTAGAACCCGAGTAAAAAGAAATATGAGCAGGTAGAAAAAAAATGCGTGTCGTTCTTAGGATATTTTGCAGAACAGGACGGAAAATATTGTGAATAATCATGGGTGGGATAAACTTTGTCGTTGGTGCAAACGTTGTTCTAATAGTGCGCAATATATTTGTCTAAAAATCTATAGAAGAAAAAGAGAAAGAAAACGGAAGAGAGAAAGGGAACGAGAGAGAGAGAGAAAGAACGTTAGACATGACTTTTGTTGGTCAACAATGTAAAGTCAGCCTTTGGCGCATAGATTTTTCTATTTTTTCTCATTTTTTCCTCTATTTACTTCTATGAACGACAGAATGTCTGCCTCGATTAGTCTATCAAGCAAGAAGAAAGAAAGAGAGAGAGAGAGAGAAAAAAAGAAGAAAAGTAGGTCTTTATAAAGTGGTAGGGTAGAAAAAAACGGTATATAAGATCAGACTGTCTCTTGATAGTTAGTGCAATAAGGTAATGCATATTAGATATGAAATCGATCGATAAAACAGACTGATATGATATATATTTTTTCCTCTTTATATTGCAGATGATGTTTTTGCTCAAAAATCACATTTTCTAGTGTTTTGTATGTTACTTGTGTGTATATACATTGATGTTTACTAAAAGTCGAGACAAAACTTCATCGGAAGATTGTAATATGTTCAACTTCTCGGAGAAATTCCAAGAGCAATTCAGTCATGTTCAACAACAGTTCGATAAATGGACAGCATTCGAGCAGATGTATGCTTCAGTGGATCTAACGAAGAAACTCTCGATGCCGTATCGATATTTTCTTTCGCAATTTTTATGTCAAATGAATAGTCAGGTCGAAAACAACGACATGTTTCATCATACAGTTCACCAAGCGAACGCACCTGGTAAATATCGAGAAAAGTAAATAAAACTAACGAACAAAGTTCTTCGTCTCGTTTAGCTATTCTTGCTTGTCTCTTATCGGATCCGGATGATAAAATCATTTCGACTCTTCTTCTTTATCTACCATTAGTGTCAACAACAGCGGCTAATGACAAATTACTCGAAGCATATCGAGATGTGTTTGTGTATCTCGATTCGAAATTAGCTAATCCATCGAATTTTTCATGTACAGAACAACAACTGATACATTACTGTCAACAGATGAAATTTTTTATTCAAAAGCATCCGAGTTTACAAAAGTTTTTATTTGACATTCCACAATTGAGCGCATTAGCAACATCAGGAAAGCCAAATAGCAATGAAAACACAGATGAGGTATGATATGTCAATAAAAATTTTCCAGTCAAAATAATCCTTTTAACGCAAAGAGGATGAATAATGATAGGAATAGACGTGACATTTCGAGGTTATCATTTATTTCCTTTCATAAGGTTTCAAAACAAAACTGCGGATGTAAATATTCATGTTTTATTTTTCTCATTTATCTGTGACGTCAGTTACAAGCCCCTAGTCATAATATACATTATTTCGCTTAGCCCACAGAGCAAAGAAAATACCGTAAAACATGTTCAAAACAAATTTTTTCGTTTTCAAAGATATTAGCAACACAACGTCTGCAGCAACCTCTACAATGCTATTCATCTGTTCGATCTTATCAACAAATATCACCACCATCAACAACGGCGTCCCTGTTGGCAAACTTTGTTTCCGAAGGGTCGTATCATACGAACGTATCTCAGCAGCCGATTCGTAAAGATGCAAGTGATAGTGGAGTTGATCTCTCGGAGCCATGTTTAACAAATTCTGTACAAAATTTGTTATCATCGCAAACGTCTCAACATTCATCGATTGGACGTTCGCATTCAGCGAATTTAGGATTGAATAACGAAGGAGATGATCAACCGAACCATCAATTCGTTATTAAATCGTCATCATCACCGACACCCGAACAAACGACTACAGTTCGTCCATCATTCGTACCACTGACAGCCGTTCTAAGTGCACCTGCACCATCGCATTATTCCTACTATTCAGATTTTCGACATCAAAATTCCACTTACTCACATCAGCAAGGTCGACCCACACTAACCATCAGTGACGAAGATGAAGAAGAGCCTTCAGCACATTTATACTCACGAAATCTATTTACATCCACGGACAAATCCTATTCAGATATAAATGCAACAGAGAACAATGCCAATAACAATCGTTTACGTCAATTTTGTTCTTTACGCAATCGACCAACACGAACACATATGAACAATTCAGCCAATAATTCTGAGAGCGTATCACAATATTTAGGTGTTGACGGAGTTTCCGGTTCCACACGCAATACATTCATTCAACCAAACAGTGGCATGCGCGGTAGGAGAAGATCTGTTCACATATTTCTTATCCTTGTTTTCTCAATTAAGATGTTCCAAAATGGTTAAAGAATCTCCGGCTACATAAGTATGCATTCTTCTTTTCACAAATGACTTATGATCAAATGATGGGCTTGACTATTGATCAACTGAAAGAGGGCAAAATTACTGATGGTGCTTGTACAAAGATCTTATTGAACATAAAAAAGTTGAAAGAAAGACAAGTTTTATTACAACAATGTCTTATTGATATTGATAATGAACAAATTGATATGAAAACCGCTCTACAGCACTTAAATGATCTAATGTTAACGCCGATTCGCGCTCCACAAACAGATCAAAACAATAATGATAACGAAGAAAATCTACCGAAGCTAATCATGCAAGTGCTCGAAAAAGGTACGTAAATGTTTCCGGATAGACTCTCGTGGAATACAACTCAGAAATAGCAGACTTTCAGATGTATATTTATATCATTGATGGCAAGATAATGACCTAACGCTGTTGTTGTTTTCTGTTTCTATATAATATTGAACTTTGTTCTAGTTTATCACCAATTGACATCGAGTACATCGTCCACAGCCGTTTCATCTGATATGTGTAATAATTTAGTTGGTCTATTTGATCGTTGTTATAAGCACGAAGCGTTCTCTCCTGATCAACGTCACAAATTATTACACTGGCGTGGTCCACTCTGTAATAAATTACAAACATCTGGTAAAATTGAGTATAAATCTATGCAATCCTCCTCATCATCGTCGGCAAATCGGCGACCACAATTAAAACCTCAAACAAGTATGGGCAACATGAATTCGACTCAAATAGTTAAACCAGCCATACGTAACATCAAAAGTATTGCACCGTATTATCCAAATTACCAATCAACGTCGATACCCTTATCACGACAGCACAATTCCGATTTGCCGAGTTCAAACGGAAATAATTCCAATCCGAATGAAATCAATTTCATTCGGCGTCCAGCAAAATCTCCTACACTAATTTTCACACCGAACAATGACTCACCGGATGAGACAGGTGCGACACAATCTTCAGCAAATAGTCATTTATCGATTGTCTCAAGTCATTCCTTACAAGAACAAACGTCCTATCATCAAACTCAACCGTATATTACTGAACGTTCAGGTATAGGCGGTGGTAGTCTTCGACCATCATTCAATTACGTGGCGTCGACATCACAACGCACTAATGGAGGTTATTTAGCTGCTAACCAACATCAATTATTGACACGTAAAACAAGCATTGATCCATATGGTGAAAGTCGTTTCGAAGACAAGAATAAGTTATGTAAAACATTCAGTGATCCGAGTCGAATTCGTTTCTGTCATCCAATTCCAAATCAACAATCAGCGAATCATTTGCAAATAGCATCTCAATCCAAAACCTATCAGAGTACATCAACACCTTACTCATCCCGACAATATCTCTCACGCTCTCAACCGGCATCAAATAATTTAAAGCCATTCTTTGAACTCGATCCAATCGCTCAGTCGCCTATTCAAAAATCTTTCTCGGATAAGGAAGCATCTGTTTATTTTAGTAAGAATTCTTTCTCTGCTCATCGAAATATTTTATTGTTTCTTTCTTCTTCTTCATTTCTTGTAGAAGATGATGAAAATAATAATCATTTAATAACAACGCCGACATCATCGTCCAACGATAGTAAACCTGATGATGCGGAGTTTGCTTTAAAACAAAGACATAATAGTACAGAATTCGATACATTATGTCGTCAAGTAACAGAATCTGCAATAAGTGATGATGGTAAGCAAATCCTGATCCTTATTTTCTCCTTAGACTATTCTTTTGAAAACTGTATTTTAGTTATTGATGAAGTAATGGAACAAAAATACTCTTCGGATATCCAAACCACGAAATCATCTTCGGCTAGTTCAATAGATACCGAATAGTAATGAACTGACTGAATGAAAATTTCTATATAAAGAAAAAATATTTATACATACACGTAGAAGCAATATTTTTTTCTCTCTTGTACACACTTTTCAGTTACGATTGTCTTTTCTTTGGAGTGTCTGGCACACTCATTTATTTCTAGCTTGTTCTATTAATTCATTTCGACGCTTTTATTGTTGTTGTTCTTGTTGTTGTTTTTCTCGTTGTCGTCTGCGTCCGGTGGCCGAAAGAAAACAAATACAACATACAAGCCCAAAAATGACAACATCGAAATAAATTTGCCGGTGACTTTCTTCGTACAAAACAGTTTTCTTCTTCTTTATCATCTTGGCTGCTGCGCTGCTTCATTTTCAATGTTTGCTTTCAAGGAGATCGTTGACACAAACAGGAAAAAGAAATTAATTCCTTTTTTTTTCGCTTTTTATTCTTCCTCATTTGTATCGTTTCGAACGGATTAACATGTTATCGGCCGGACCGCATGAAAGTTTCTTATGTCTGAACATTTCTAGAAAATGTTCGATATATTCGAAAGTAGAAACATCTACTCACCGGAAGCGCCTTGTTCCTTTTTTGTTTTTGTTGTTACTTTATTTCAACATATACTTACCGTTCATCAATGATCTTTTCTGTTATTTTATTCAGTTGAGTAAATACCAAAAGAATACATTAATCTAAAATCCAGTGGATTTTTAGATCATTGTTTTGATATTTGTAACTAGAATGGCGTCGTCGTCCTCGGCAGCATTGTTTAAAGAACGGGAAAAGTTTATTAAACGACAGGCAGACGAAGCTGCATTTCTTGCGTCAGCAGAGAAACGGCAAAAAACTGACAAACCATCCACACAAAAAGCTAACCGATCAAAATCAGCACTTCCTCGACCTAAAACATTGTCAGGTGAGTACTGATCATTTTATCGATCTATAGGAAGATTCATTCGTGTTCATTTCATATTCTAGACTTCTCGAGCGATTTTCAGTCGTCATCATCTGGTTCAAAACTGAGAAATTTGACTTTAACGAAAATCGTACTCAAATTACAAGTAAGTTCGAAGATTTTCCGAACAAGTGCATGGATCACCTCGTTTTGAAACTTCATCTCAACAATGCACACGCATATTTACCTGGAATTTTTCTCTTTTACTCAAAGTCATGCTTAATCAAAAGCCTCTTAAGTGATAATAGTGAATTTATTCTTGTGAAAACTTTTCATGATATCAGATGTGATTTGCATTTGACTATAAATGCCATATGTCACTCCATTCTCTTGCAAGTGCGTTCTAGTTTTCGAAATATGCTTCCTTTCAGATGACATTCACCGTTCATTAGGGATTGCTGTAGTTTTTAATACAACGGATGCATCTGTAAGTAGGAATAGGAAATGAACGTGCGAGGAACATTCAGAACAAGAGAGATGACTGGGAAAAGAATTTTGGAGATATGCTGAAATAAATAGACTGAGAAATTATGATTAATGACTTTTTTCTCTCTATAGGAACGTTATTTAAGTGGACAAACCGAATCTGTAACATTAGAAGAAATAGTCGAAGAAGCTGGCGTAACGATCGATTCATCAGACAAACATTGGCTTGCTTCAGATGTAAGTGCATTTCCATGATAGTCATCATGGTTGACCAGATTCTTCTTTAGGCTCTTTTAACCAATCCAAAAATATATGTTGAACCAGTCGATGATGTGAATAAATTTGTATATAAACCCCCTCTCGATTTAAAAGCTCCAAAAAAGACCTCTCTTCTTAATCTTCTCAAATCGCGACACGAAAAATGTGAAGGAGCGGTAACGGTTGACGATGTTCGAGAAACCATTCCATCAAACAGAGCGGACTTATTCATTGAAGTAAACACAAACGGCACGCAATCAGACAAAAGATATATTAATTTGGTTTGCATTTCTAGAGCTTAATTAAAAGTAAAGACGTGGTGAAAGTCACGAATAATAAACGAGAAATTCTATTTTACACTGATCGTGCCTATGACCTGCAAGTTAATCCAGGTAAATCCATCTAGGAAAACTAAAGGTCGCTTAACTCGGTTTCATCATGGGCTTTCTTCCAGAGTTTATCGAATCGTGGAGGCGTATTTCAGTTGAAGGCTTAGATGACAAGATGATTGCAGAGTTTCTTAAGAACCAAGGACATCGCGTCTTGACAAAGAATGCGCCACGACCAATGGTAAATTCCAATCGATAATCTCAATATAGTGAAAGCTATACATTCCAATATTCTAGGAATTGGCACCCAAAGCGAAACGTGGCGGTCGTCGTCCCGACACAATGAAACACAATCAACATGTTGCTCATCAGCTCGAAGTAAACATACACATTGAGTAGAAATCAGCGAAACTCGTTCTATGTATTCTTTCAGGATTATACGCAAATGGCGAATAAGAAATAATCAATTAGATAATCGTGTTCTTGGTTTACGAGAACAATTTATGAAATGGAGAGAGACATAGTCGAACGCATTCACATCTATAAACAAATGAGTTTTTTCCTTGTTCAGAAATAAAAAGTCCTCAGTTTAAAACCTCTAGACGTCTACATCAATATTCGGTGAAGAAGAAAGACACGAACGTACTTAATCACACTGACGTATTTTCCTCTGCCTATCATCGAGTACGTTTCTCTCGAACAAGTAACTGCTTTTGAACTGATTGCAACGAAAAAGAGAAACCAATAATCAGATAAATTGATGTCAGTTGCCAAGTTAACTAATATTTCTTGTCGTGCGAGAATCGTTGCGAAAGTGCACGAACCTGCATCCAATTCAAATGAGATCTTTTTACTTCATGGAACGTGAATTTTCTAGTACACTTCATTCATCCAAAAATGTCGTTCATAAATCAGATAGATGTTCGCCCGGGGATAGAACGCGAGAAGTTTTATTCGAAATAAATACGCAGCTTTCCAACGGATATACGCGTGACTTTTTTTTCTTCAATCGATTTGCGTATAAGAAGAATAAAAGAGCAAGTCAAGTATAAGATATTTTTCTTTGTTTAGCATCGAAAAAGGAGAAGAAAATGAAGGCAAGCAAAAGCGGAAAGATATGTCATGTCGATGATCGAGCGAATGACTGAAAAGATTCACGAATTGAACCCGATTGTCTTGATGATGATGGTGGTTTAGAAACAACGACAATATCTTTTTCCGATAGGACTTGGACAAAAAATGCGCCTTCTTTCTTGCGAAATTTGCTATTTGCAGCATCGAATGATAAGCGTATGCCCACTGAGATGCTTAATAAACATGTTAAACATTCAATCAGTGAAATAATTAATCCCACGAATAAAAGTCGGTCCTTTTGTTCTTTCATGTACGCTTGTCCATCCGTCATTATATTAACTAGGCCTAATCGTAGCAATTGAATATTAACACAATCGACGACAAGTGTGACGATACTTGTTGCTACGTAGCATAGAATCTAAATTAGACGTGAACTTTTTCATACAAATCGAATCATCACCGAAGAAATTTTCTCATTTACCACGTAGAGACCTTTTTGACGCGCACATATCATTCCGATTGCACCGCAAAGAGCAAACTGAAAGAAAATAATTGAAAGAAAACAATGACAAACATTAGTTAACATACAAAGAAGCCGCTCCACAGAGGTGAGATGCTATATGCCATCCAAACCGACTCTCGACTTTGTGAGATTATTCCAACAATGATATTAATCAAAGCGAGTGCAATGTGTAGCGATGATAGAACATAAGTCAATCCAATGAAAATGTACATGTGACGGAGACAATAACGGTCATCTTTCTCGTTAATTTAAAATTTATTGACACGGACGCATAAAAAAAACATGAAGGGAAATAGCTAAAAATGACAATGCCGAAAAAGGAGGAGAAGAAGAAGAAGAAGAAGAAAAATCTGATCGTAGTGACGATAAGAACAAGCTCATGTCACATCTCATAAGAGATTAGAAGACGTTCATGTTTCTGTTGGCTCTCGTTTCTCTTTTGTCGATAACAACGAACAAGTTTGTGAGCGTCCGGGATGGAAAAATCAGACAAACGAAGAACAACAAGAAGAAAATTTTCGAGGACATTAGGAAAAACAGAAGTATTTGCTATTGAACGAGTCGTTCTTTGCTTTAGTCGTTTGTCTTCCCGAAATTTATATGAGTGCGCGTAAAGGATCGATAATAGAATCTGTTCAGACTAAAAACAACTTAAAACCAACAGACAATATCACTCGATAATAAACCACAACTTGTCGGTGACGATAAAGAAAGCACTAAATAATAACCATGCACAATTTTTCACGATTGAATCGTCAACATAATTGAACGTTCTAGATGTAAATTAATTCAATAAGACTCGTGTTTTATTTCATCCAACTTTGTAAACTCATTCACTCTAGACGCTGTACGGACAGAGATTGTTGAAAGAAGCGAACATATCTCTATTTGTTTTTAGTGATTTGATTTAAGCAAACGAATGTCTTTTATTTAGAAAAATCAATTCCAAAATTTGTGCACCAGACAACTCGAAACCTTCGATAATTATTCTGTTTCCTAATATAAGAAAAACAAAACATGACATATAGAAGAGCAGATTTGTTCTAGATGAATAAAATATGTATATACAGCATCAACGTCAGGAAAACGAGAGGAAAACGCGCGAGACCTCATTATCGTTGTTGATATTCGGATAATGACGATGATTTGACTGGTCGAGGTAAAACAAATTTACTATAGGATGACACATATTTTGTATAACGCTGTGATGGCTCATTTCCCATATCTAACGGTTTGATTATACCTGTTCGATAAAACTCTTCGTGATCTGGTGAAAGCACACGATTAGTCGTGTGGTATCCATTCATTAATGAGCCTAAACCGAGCTCTTCAGATGTATTCATACTCATCGAAAAGCGTTCTTCGTATTCTTCGTCGATTTTTGTTGGTACAGGTGGTAATGTTTGATATTGACGAAAGAAACTATTCAAACCGTCTTCATCGTCTTCATCAGTTGCAATTGATGATTCTCTTGTTAAGATTCCTTGAGGAACTGTTCGTCGTACTGGAATAGGAGGCGAAGGATGAGAAGGTGATGAGATGGTTTTGCTCGCAATCGTTGGTGATGGACTTAGGCGAATGGTTGCTTGAGGAAATGAAGACAGTTTCTTTGATTGTTCGGTTGGTAACGATGATATTGGAATGATACCATTAGTTTCATTTGACACGATAATGGTTTCTTGCTGTTTGGCAGGCGTTGTAGTCGGTGATGGTAGAAGTGGCCTGTCTGCAGAGGTTTTCTCCGGGAGGTTCTTTTTGAATTTATTTCGTTGTTGTTTATTATTTCGTGCCAAGAGCCACGATACTAAGACAATTAATAATAAACAAAATCCGATTAAAACAAGAATAAAACCAGCTAAAAACCGAGATTTAAATAAGAGAATAGCAGCTAGAAGAAAAAAAAAGAACGAAATGAATGAAAGTGCGATGAATTTCATGTCAATGATCTCACAATCTTGTTTTTTTATAACATCGTCGTAATTTGTTTCACATCGTTCACCAAAATATTGACTGTCGCATCTAATCAAACAAAACCATTAAATCATGACAGAGAAGAATTCTTATACATACAAACATTTCAATTGATAATTAATACTTATACATTGACCGCGATTATGACAATCTTGCAGACTCGAACATGTCAAGTTTTTATTCAATTGATTATGTGAAGATTCTCGATCAATATCCAAATAAACACTGGTACTTGTTCGATTCATTGGATTTTCGGCGTCTAAAAACAAATATCAATAATAAGAAGACAATAACCAAGTGAAAACGAGCTCTTACGGCACACATAAGTTCCAATATCATCAAGTGTTAACGATTGAAAAAAGAGAGTTGATTGATATCTAAACATTGAAATAATCTGATGAAATTACGAGAATATAAACAACCGTAATTTACTTGTATTGTATGGAATAAATTCGGCATGAGCGATGGCATTGTTTAGATAATGGATAATATTCAAGTGTTTCGTTGATATCCGTTTTTTTACTCCATAATAATTGAGGCAACGGATTGCCTCGTGAATTGCACTGGAGAGAATAGTCTTTTGATAATATTGCTCTATCGAGACGAGTTTTGATGAGAACTTGTGGTGAATATGGGTCTAGAAAGACGCACAAAGGAGAATACAGAAAAGAAAACGTCAGAACAGACGATAACTGTCTATCTGTCTGTTCTAACTGCAGTATAATGAATAATAATCAGAGTGGTAGTAACAACATTCCTAGAACAGCGTATACGAAAGGAGAAAACGCCGAACCATAGTGAGAATCAATGTCTTTTATATAGCCTCCTGCTAGGAAAGCAAACGAGTCTGAAAAGTAACATGTTATATACTTCATCTAAACAATCAACATAGCCAATGTCAAACAAATAGGCAAGATTCGTCAAGGAAGAATGAAAAGACGAGAGAGAAACACACGCAGCTCATCGCCCGTTCTCGATAGACGATGCACTGTCGCTATCTATATTCTTCGAAGTTATCGTGTACATATCCGTCCCAGCACACGCACATACATACATACATCTATGGACATTTATCCTTTCTCTGAAATCATTCGAGTGATAGAGACGATAGATTGATTGAGTACATAGATGAGTATTTCAAGTAAAAGTTTGATAAATTACGCTAGTTGTTAATTGCTACTTATATGTGTCATTAAAGTCTGATCGTATTACCTTTGTCAATAGTTAGTTTTTTCCCTTGACTAGAAACGGAAATAGTAAGACGTTTATATAAGCAGTCACTCTGTATTTATGCATCGACGATCAATCTCATCAGGAATTTCCGTTTTAGTTTTTCTTTTCTTTATGTGTACATGTAAGTGAAAAGGAATAAACGAACATTTGCTCAAACACCTGCATACGAACTAATCAAATTAATTTAGAATGCAAAAGAAAAATAGTCAACATAGTTAAGAAGAAAGTTTTATTATGAATATTCTCGGCCTCTTTTTCTTTCCTTTCAACGAAGATGACAAGACTTTCATATTGAACAGATACTCACCGTGATTGAGTACGGCATCAATATTTTCTCGCACGCGAAGTGTTGATTCAACTGGTGGATAGTGTAAATCGAATTCGTTGTTCTTCGTCTCATTGAGAAAGAGAATAACGTCGACAGTGCCCACTCGAAGTAGATGCCAACATGAATTATCAAGATATTCATCATCATTATCATTTATACGAATGATTATCATGTCATTCGTTTTGACTTGCTTTTCAACTGACGACGAATTCAGTGGACTTTTAATCACTTCACGCACAAGAACTTTTCGAATAATTGAATCACTTCGTTTGTAATCTTGTTCGAATAAATCAATTGGTTGGACACGTAAGACAATCGAATGACTATATGCAGC